CCTGCCTCTGCCTCCCGAGTGCTGGGATTAAAGGCGTACGCCACCACGCCCGGCTGAGCACATCTCTTATTAGAAATCTTTTTACATTGTTATATGGTTGCAGGGGAGATTGAACAATGGCTAAGTCAGGTTGCTCTTGGAACTAGATTTTTAGTTTCTCATTTCTTGGTGCTTGAATTTTCTCTTTTCCTGAGGCTTGGGGGTGTAAGCCTGAAGGGCTAGGGTCTTTCACTTTTTATTATTTTATTTTCTTTGAGACAAGATCTCACTCTATAATTCAGGCTAGTCTCAGTCTCATGGAGATCATCTGCCCGTCCTCTTGAGTGCTGGGATGTGTAGGTGTGAGCTACTACATCCAGTTTTTCTGTTTCTTTTTTTTTTTTTAATTTGAAGTAGTTTAACTTAAATAGAAGTGGCAGGCATAGCACAAATAACTTGTTTTCCTGTTTTATTTGAAAGACAGTTGCAGTTCTGGGATACCATAGGCCTGAACATTTCAGATATTCTTCCTCCATGACTATAATGGGCTTTCAGAGTGAGAAAATTCGTAAGCCTTGCTCATCTGTCACTATTTGGTCCTTGATACCAAGGGGTCTCTTTGAGGATGGCACACTGCATTCACTGTCCTGTCCATTGAGCCTCCTTTATTCTAAAATAGCCTCTTGGTCTCTCCTGGACTTCCAGGACCTTGATGCTTTGGAAGACTTAGAGGCAGTTGTGTTTTAACAGCTCCTTCAGTCTGGGCTTCTCTGGTGTTTCCTTGTGATTGGGTGATTCTCCTTAAGACATGCATTTGGAAGGAGTGTCATAGCTAATGCTGAGCTTTCTTTTTTCTGAGTCCTGCTAGATGGCTCAAAGTGACGCCCACAGTATTAGTGATGTTGCCTTGAATGACTCTGGGACCCTGGTGTCAGATGTGGCCACTGCTTTGCTTCTCCTGTCAGTGTGCAGATTGTGCAGATCCTCTGCTGTTGCTGTTTGTTTTGCTACTGGGATTGAACCTAGGGCCTCATCTTGCTAGGCAAACACTGCCTCTGAGCTGTAGCCTCATTTACTTTTTTTTTTTTTTTTTTTGGAGTTGTCATCTAAGTTGCCTAGGTTGCCTTTGAACCCACCTTGGAGCCCAGATTGGCCTTATCTTGATTCTCTTGCTTGGTTTCTGCAGTAGCTAGGACTGTAAGACTTTGCTACCAAACCTGACTAAGGATTTGTAGGAGTCAAACCAGGAATTTGCACATGCTGCTTTAAGATTATGTAATTATGATGTTTCTCACCAAACTTTGGTTCAGTTATTTTCACAGGTGATTTTCATAGCTAAATTACTGCAATGTCAGTTGCCAAATGATGATTTTCTAGTAGTCATTTCTTCTGCTTTCCTTAGTTGTCATTCCACTGTATTGAAAACTTCTCCCCAATGTTTATTCATCAATTTACTTATATCAGTACGAATTTGTGGATTACTGTTTATGTAGTGAGCTATTGCAATTGCTGTTATTCTATTGAGGCTTATATTGTCTTTGATTTGGTCGAGGAGAGTACCCTAGAGCTGATCTGGGGCCCTCTTGCTATGTTCTTATCATTCTTTTTTTTTTTTTAATTAATTTATTTATTTATTGTGTATACAGTGTTCTGCCTGCATGTATGCCTGCAGGCCAGAAGAGGGCATCAGATCTCAATACAGGCAGTTGTGAGCCACCATGTGGGTGCTGGAAATTGAACTCAGGACCTCTGGAAGAGCAGTCAGTGCACTTTAACCACTGAGCCATCTCTCCAGCCCAGTTCTTATTCTTTATTTCCTAATTTCTGCAAAGCAGGATTTTCAAGGCTTGCCTCCTCTTTCCCATGCCAGGTCTAGAATGACCTAGAGTGCATGCATCCTGTTTCCTTTTAGTGAAGAATTGTACTTGAAAGTCAAGGCCTGGACTCAGTCTGTGTCACTAGGCTGTCACCTAGACCCTTTCAGTGAAAATGCTAGAATATGTACCTCTACATATTCACACAAACATATACACATAACATTTCTGCATTGCTATACCTACATAGCTGTAGATAAAGGAAACTGAATTCATATTGCTTTCTCCAGTGCTAGTTGAATACTACAGGGTTTATTCTAGATTTCTTTTCCTTAACTGTAAACCTTCTTCAATGGTGCAGCACCTAGGCCCGTTATCTTCGACATATTTACGTATTGGACCAATCCCTTCATGTGTAAACGGTCCCAGTTCAGTGTAGCCTTTTGCCCCGTCCCATCCTGCATAGATGCCCCCCTTGCTCAACCCCACCAATGGCTTTAGAGAATTAGGCTAGGCAGCTAATGAGAACAAGAGCAAAGGAGCCAGGCCAGCGAGATGGCTTGGTTCAGTGGGTTAAAGGTACTTGCCTCCAAACCTGACAACCTGAGTTTGAGTCCTAGGACCCACACAGTGGAAGAGGACCAACTTCGCAAGTTGTCCTCTGGTCCACATGTCCCTCTCCCGCCACCAACACACAATAAATAAATGTTTAAAAAAAAAAATAAACGACAGAGGGGTCCATGTACACATGAACAGTAAAATTTGTTAAGGCATTCTTTGGAATAGCCAAGAAATACAAACAATTTAATTTAGAATTGCAATTAGAGAAAAGGTAAATTTACAGTCTATATAGTACACTAATTGTGCAGCCATTAAAAGTGATGTCTAGGGTGTATATTGATATGGAAAAATACTCCATAAAAATTTGTAATTTTAAAGAAGTCAGCCTACAACTCACCGCTATAGCATACCATTTCTTTAAGTGAATGCACATATGAGGGAAAAATATAACAAAAATAAGTCGAAAAATAGTGTTGGTAACTATATTGTAGCTCTGTCTGTATCCACTGTGTTTAAAGCTTTCTATATTGCATGGGTTTGATTGCTACATTTACAAAAGAGAAGAAGTGTCATCTAAAGCGACAGTTAAAGCTAGAGTTGACATTACAGATGAATGTCAGGGGGACTGATTGGAAGCAGAAGCAGATAGCAGCTACTCTGTGTACAGTGATCTAAATTATGCTTTAAATGATTGCAGATGCTCTGCTCTGCCATGACGATGAGCTGGAGGGACGCAGGATCGCCTTCATTCTGTACCTGGTTCCTTCCTGGGACAGGAGCTTGGGCGGCACCCTGGACCTTTACGACACTGATGGTAAAATGCATGCTTACCACCTTCAGTAGCCACTCCTGAATTCCAACCAGTAGCCTCAGGATCACCAGTCTGACATATAATGTGTCAAAGGAAATAGAAACCATGTATTTAGCTGGGTGGTAGTGGTGCATGCCTTTAATCCCACCCAGCACTCGGGAGGCAGAGGCAGGTGGATCCCTGTGAGTTCGAGGCCAGCCTGATCTACAAAGCGAGTTCTAGGACAGTCAGAGCTTTTAGACAAAGAAACCCTATCTCGAAAAAACAAACAAAACTCCAAAAGAAAAAAGAAACCATGTACTTGGCACAGTGACTACCACAGGTAGAATTAATGCTAGCCTTAACAACCACCTCTTGAAATTACATTCCAAATACTTGTTCAGAGACAAAGCTGATTAAGATGAGAAGGAGATCTTGTTCTTTGTACTGGCCATGGAAAGGCAAAAGGCATACTGAGCGACCTGTGTCTGTGAGTCCGCCAACAGCAGCCTGTCTGACAAGGGCTCGGGTTCTTTGAGTGACTTCCCACAGGCTGACACCAGGAAAATGACAAGTTCATCCACGCTCCTCACTAACAGCTGGACAGTGTGGTGGAAGCATGTCACCCAGAGACTAGCAAGTTTGAGTCACACAGCTAGAAGGGAGTATTTGAGACCGTCCACAGCTGGATGAGGCAGCCTGTAAGTGGTAATGCTAATGAACCCATTTACGGATGTCTTCTCTCCTGATGCAGAACACTTTCAGCCAAAGCAGATTGTCAAGTCTCTTATCCCTTCGTGGAACAAACTGGTTTTCTTTGAAGTGTCTCCGGTATCCTTCCACCAGGTAAATATTGTAGACAAGTCTGTAGTGCACTAAGGACCAAGAGCTTGTTTCCTGTCACCCTCTGTCTAAGTGTGTCCACTTCCTGCTGGGCTGTCGCACGAGGTTGTTTTCATACCTAGCTTGATGGGTTCTCAAGTTAATGTGACTTAGCTCGTGTCTTCTTCCCTCGTCATCCTTGGGGTTGATGTGCTGCTGCTCTTGCTCTTGCAGGTGTCTGAAGTTCTGTCTGAAGAAACATCCCGTTTATCTATAAGTGGCTGGTTTCATGGTCCTTCATTAGCCAGGCCTCCCACCTACTTTGAGCCCCCAATTCCTCGACACCCTCACATCCCACAAGACGTAAGCATAAATTACTGGGATTCCTATCTTATGTACTCTATCATATTCGTTGTTTTTCTGATTTTACTATTGTGAGGACCATGCAAGCTGACACGTATTTTGCAGTACTAGAAATTAGACCAAGGGGCTTGCATATGTTAACAAAGTGTTCTACCAATGAACTTTATACCCAACCTGTTTTTCTGATCTTAAAGTTAGATCTTGCCAATGCTGAAACTGGACGTTGAACTTGCATTTTTCTTAGATACATTTTGAAAATGTTTTCTCAGAGTTTTCTAGTACTTTGGGCTTGATAGGAGGAATGTAAAAAGTGAAGACTGTGGAATGACAAGCTGTAGATATTAATGGATCTCGTGTATCTGTTGCTTTTTTATAAGCATGAGATTTTATATGAGTGGATCAACCCTGCTTATCTGGAGATGGATTATCAAATGCAAATTCAAGAAGAATTTGAGGAAAGGTCTGAAATTCTCCTGAAGGAGTTTCTTAAGGTAGGCCACCATAGCCGGTTTTATATGTGTTGTTGACGTAGATCTAGACTGTTTTCCTTCCTAGCTCAGATGTTTATGTGTCTCTCCTGTTGTTGTTTGTTTTATTACTCTTTTTGGAGGACCCACCACCCAGCTCCCAAACAAATCACATACGGAGGCTTAGTCTCACTCATGAATGCCCAGCTTTAGCTTGACTTGTTTCTTGCCAGCTTTCCTTAACTTATCCTGTCTACCTTTTACCTCTGGGCTTCTCCTGTTCTCACTTCTGTATCTTACTCTTACTCAGTTGCTGGTTGTGTAGCCGGGTGGCTGATCCCTGGTGTCCTCCTCCTTCTCTAGCTGCTAGATCTCTATCTTCCCAGATTTCTCCCTCTATATAGTCTCTCTGCCTGCCAGCCCTGTCTATCCTTTCTCTTTTCTGCCTTGCTGTTGGCCAGTTCTTTATTAGACCATCAGGTGTTTTAGACAGGCACAGTAACACAGCTTCACAGAGTTAACCAAATGCAACATAAACAAAAGTAACACACCTTGAAATTATATTCTACAACACTCTTCAAATCAAATGCACAAATTATAATAAGCATTGCTATCAGGTGTGTGCGTGACATCCCTAGGACTCTATGGATTTTTTTTTTTTTTTTTTTTTTTTTTGAGAACCCTGAGTAACTGCCCTAACTATCCTGGAACTTGCTCTGTAGACCAGGCTGGCCTCGAACTCACAGAGATCTGCATGCCTCTGCTTCCCAAGTGCTGGGATTAAAGGCGTGCGCCACCACTACCACCTGGCTCTATGGACTTTTTTAAGGTTTATATTTCATTTTATTTACATGTACTCAAGGAGGCCAGAAGAGGGCATCAGATCCCCTGGACCTGAAGCTACAGGGGGGGGTCCTCTGTAATAAACACTTTTAATCACTGAACCTGCCCAGGACTGTAATGGCCAGACACACACACACACACACACACACACACACACACACACACACACACACACACAAGCTTCCTCCCTAAAAGGGACTTGGTACCTAGTTTGTTTTCTTTCTATTCATTTGATGAATATGGTATTTGCTTGTTTTTTTTAGATATGTTGTTACTTATAGTGAATGTTTGATCATGATGAGGCAACTTGAGTACAGGAGCTGAAGTCAGAAGTCACGTCCTGCTCAGGTTCCCTAAGCTGAGCACGTGAGCACACTAGGTGTTTATTGTATTATTGGTTGCACTGGGATGACACCTGCCTGGGCTTTCTTGCAGGGTCGGGAGAGCTGTGTGAAATAATAGTCCCAAGAGCTCGTCCTCCATATATATGATAAATATTTTTTTAATTAAAGCCTCTTGTGAATACATTTCAATAGAAAGTTTCCATATTGTATTTGACGATTCAAAATCTGAAAGCTTATTAAGTGAGGGGACAAGCTGCGTCATAGTGACACTAGCTAATACAGTTTGACTTTTCCTCATGACAGCCTGAGAATCCAAGAGGTGGTGTCACTAGCAATGTGAGATTTAGCAATTGGCCACTTAACATACACTACACAACCACTAGGAGCTGGGGAAATGGTTCAGTGAGTAAGACCATCTGTCTCACAGTGTGAGAATCTGAGCTTAGATCTCTAGCGCCCATGTGTTCATGTGTTTGTTTATTTCTGGGTCCAGAGACAAGAGACTGGAACTGCTGGCTACCAACCAGCCTAGTGGGGAGAAGGCCAGGGAACCACATGCTCCAGGTTCAGTGAGGGACCCTGTCTGCAAGAGGTCCTTCTCTAGTCTGCACACACATATGCTTGGGTGTGTGCATTCATGTGCATACATCACACATACATGCAAAAATTCTTTTTCTTTCTTTCTTCTCTTTTTTTTTTTTTTGAGACAGGGTTTCTCTGTGGAACAGCCCTGACTGTCCTGGAACCTGAAACTCGCTTTATATACCAGGCTGGCCTCGAACTCACAGAGATCTACCGGCCTTTGCCTCCCCAGGGCTGGAATTAAAGGTGTGTGCCACCATCACTTTGCTTTAAAATTCTTTAATAATAAACTTACAAACACTTAATGGAATAGCCCAATGGCACTTAGCTCTCTTAGCTAAAGCTGCCCCAAAGATCTTGTATGAAAGAGGAAATACTGAAATGGACCCCTTAGGAGTCAGCCAGCTGACACTCTGCAGAGCTGCTTCTCCTGTCAGAAGAGGGAGGGATTGCAGGAAGAATTGCTAACTTCTGTGTTTATTTTCCAGCCTGAGAAATTTGCAAAGGTCTGTGAAGCCTTGGAGAAAGGAGGTGTGGAATGGAATAGCCGTGGTCCCCCCAACAAAAGGTAGAGGTCCCCATCACAGATGGTTCCATCTGTATTCAGCACCTCCCTTCCATCCGCATGAGTCATCTCCATAGGACACTTGCCTTAATGTTTAGTCCCCAGGACATGCTGCAGCAGTCCTAGCGGTCTCACCAGTCTCCTGGCCGTGCCATCATTTCGGGAGACCAGCTTTGATTGCATGGGTGAGCTCACACGTGGGGCTGAGGAGCTCGCCGTTGCTGCTTTTCAGGTTCTATGAGAAAGCGGAAGAAAGCAGTCTCCCCGATATACTGAAGGAGTGCATGGGCTTCTTCCGCTCCGAGGCACTGTTCTTGCTGCTCTCCAACTTCACCGGCCTGAAACTCCACTTCCTGGCCCCGTCAGAAGATGATGAGATTGAGGACAAAGGAGAGGCAGAAGCAGCCTGTGCTGCTGATGGCACTGAAGAAGGGACTAGCCAAAGCCCCTCAGGGCCCGAGGATAAACAGGAAGCTATGGGCAGCCCCAGTCAGGAGAGTGGTGAACAGACAGACCTGGAACCACAGGAAGATGAAGCAAAGAAAGGTAAGCTAGTGTTAGGACTCACCTTTATTTTTACCTGAAACCATTCACATTCCAGTGATTTATCCTTATGCATGTAACAGATCCTTGCTGAACACTGCCTCCATCTCAGGAACAGGAGAACAAAGCCAAGGTAGCTCTCCTGGATCCCGAGTTGTTCTAGGAGATGGCAGAGGTCACATCTATACCCAGAAAGCGAAGGAGCCGCGAACAGTGCTACAGGCTCACACAGCATGTTGTGTTCACTTCCAGCAGAAGCGCTCCTCGCCACTGCTACTCTTCCCACTTGAAGAAGTGTACTAGCTGTCCTCTTCCCGAAAATGTTCATCCTGCATCTCTTCTTCTTCAGATCTGAGCAGCGTCACTTCTCAGAGAAGCCTCTGTACCACACTCTCATGTGAGGCTGCTCGGTCCTAGACAGTCCTTGTCACATGACTCATTACGGTGCAGTGTACATACTGCCACCATCTCTTAATTCATGTGTGCATCACTCCTGCTGTGTCTGGAGGAGTCACTTAGAGCCATTATTTTTGTATGTTTGGAGTCATCCATCCCCTTTGGCTCTTAACAATGATCCCATCTTCTCTTCTGCATAGCTCCCTGGGCCCTGAGGGGAGAGTCTGATGAGGACATCCCACTTAGGACTGAGTTTTCCAAAATCTCTTAGTCTCTCCATATTGTCCATATGTGGGTCTCTGTATTTTTTCCATCTATTGCAAGAAGAATAGAATTCTCTGATGATGGCTGAGCGAGGCACTGATCTATGGGTGCAGTAGAACAATAGTGTTTGGTTTTCCCTTAGGCCAGTGGCCTATCCAGTCTCTGGTTTGGAGCCACCCACTCAGTGTCAGACATGGGTTTCATGTCATGGAATAGGCCTTGAAACCAATCAGAGTGGTGGGTTACTCCCATAGTGCTGTGCCACTGTTGCATCAGCATGTCTTGCAGGCAGCTCACCCTTGTAAATCACAGAGTTTGTGACTGGGTTGATGGTTACCTTTTCTCCTCTGATAGCATGTGGGGAACCTTCCAGTACCATGAACACTAATCAGTTGGGGTGAAGCCTCTAGTTAGGCACCAGCTTGATTTCTCCATGTTCAATGAGATATGTAAGCGCTGTCTTCAGTGATAGGGCCTTACCATCAGTTTGTGGAGAGTGATCAGTAGTCTTGGCAATAGTGTGAGATGCTTTGGGCAACAACTCAATTAGATGTAACTCCTTCCTGGTACTGGAAGTTTCACTTGGTGGCAAAAGATGTCTAGTTGGGGCATTGTCTTCCCCATTCTTTGGTGACTCTGTTTCTGTTTCTTGCATGTTTGTATCTGTCTTAGGACACTCCTACAGTAGTAGGTTTCCTTGTGACCCTCAGATGGCCCTTGGTGTTAGTTGTCCCTCCCTGTATCCCATGGGAGAGACTCCCCTCCTCGCTAGTCTTACTCCATACCTACTCTCTGTGGTTACGGACTGCAGCACCCAGTGCTTGAAAGTTAACATCCATATCAGGGTGTAGGTTACCCCACCCAGGGTGACTTTCCCTAGCTCTATCCATTTACCCACAAATTTCATATTTTTAATGGCTGAATAATATTCCATTGTATAAAGGCACCACATTTTCATTATCCATTGGTTAATGGGCATCTAGACTGTTCCCAATTTCTGGCAATTAGGAACAGAACAGCAATGAACATGGATGAGCACGTATCTCTGTAGTAGGATGTAGAGTCCTTTGAGTATGTGCCCAAGAGTAGGGGGATCTTAAGGTAGATCTATTCCCAGCTTCCTGAGGAACTACCACACTGATTTCCATGGTGGCTGTACAAGTATGCACTCCCCTTCCAATGAATAAGTGTTTCCCTTTCCCCACATCCTCGCCAGCATGAGCTATCATTTGTTTTCTTGATCTTGGCCATTCTGACTGGTGTAAGATAAAATTTCAAAGTAGTTTTGCAGTCCTCTGATGACTAAGGATGTTGACTATTTCTTTAAGTGTTTCTCAGCCATTTGTGTTTCATCCTGTGAGAACACTTGGCTTAGTTCTGTACTAAGTTTTAAATTGGCTTATTTATTTTTCTTGTTGTCCAGATGTTGTTTTTGTTTGTTCGTTTGTTTTTTTAGTTCTTAGTATATTTTCGATATTAACCCTTTATTAGAATGTGTAAATGGTAATATCTTTTCCCATTCTGTGGCCTGTCACTTTGCCCAGATGACAGCATCCTTTGCCATACAGAAGCTTCTCAGTTTCATGAGGCCTCATTTATAAATTGTTGATCTTGGTGCCTGTGCTATGAGTGTACTGTTGAGAAAGTCTTTTTCTGTGTCAATGAGTTCATGCTTAGTCCCCATTTCCTCTTCTCTTAGATTCAGAGTATCTGAACTTAGGTTGAGGACCTTGACCATTTGAGTTTTGTGCAGTGATAAATATGGATCTATTTGCATTCTACATGCAGCCCTCCAGTTTGACCAGCACCATTTGTTGATGATGCTGTCTTTTCCATGTGTGTATTTATGACTTCCTTGACAAAAATCAGGTGTCCATAGGTTTGTGAAATTCCTTATGTCTGGGTCTTCAGTTCAATTCCATTGATCAATGTGTTTGTTTTCATTACTAATACCAGGCTGTTTTTGTTTGTTTGTTTGTTTGTTTGTTTGTTTGTTTGTTTGTTTTTAATCACTATAGCTCTGTAGTACAATTTGAAATCAGGGATAGCGACACCTGCAGCAGTTCTCTTACCATTCAGGATTATTATAGCTATCCTGGATTTTTTTTGTGTGTGTCTCTGTATGAACCTGAAAATTGTCCTTTCAATTTCTGTGAAGAATTGTGTTGGAATTATAATGGGGATTATGTTGAATCTGTAGATTGCTTTTGGTAGGATGGCCATTTTCACTATTTTAATCCTACTGATCCAGGAGACTAGGAGGTCTTTCCATCTTTTGCTATCTTCTTCAATTTCTTTCTTCAATGTCTTAAAGTTTTTAATTATACAAATCTTTCACTTCCTTGGTTAGAGTTACCCCAAGATATTTTTAAGGCTATTGTGAATGATAGTTTCTCTGATTTTTTTTTTCCTCAGTCTGTTTGTCATTTGTATATAGAGGGCTACTGATTTCTGTGTGTCAATTTTGTATCCTGCTACTTCGCTGAAGGTGTCTATCAGCTATAGTGGTTTCTTGGTGGAATTTTTCAGGTTGTTTATATACAGTGGTATCTGCAAATAAAGATACTTTGACTTCTTTTCCTATTTGATCTCCTTCAGCTGTCTTATTGCTCTAGCTAAGACTCCAAATACTATATTGAATAGATATGGAAAGAGAGGACATCTTTGTCTTGTTCTTGATTTTAGTGGAAATGCTTCAAGTTTCTCAAATTAGGTTGATGTTGGCTGTGGGCTTGCTGTAAATTGCTTTTATTATGTTGAGGTATGTCCCTTGTATCTCTAGTCTCTCCAGGACTTTTACCATGAAGGGATGTTGGAGTTTGTCCAAAGGTCCTTTCTGCATCTAATAAGATGGTCATGTGGTTTTTGTCTTTCAGTCTGTTTATATGGTAGATTACATTTATGAATTTACTTATGTTGAACTATCCCTGCATCTCTGAGATGAAACCTACTTGATCATGGTAGGTAATCTTTTTGATGTATTCTTGGATCTGGTTTGCAAGTACTTTACTGAAATTTTTTGCATCTCTCATCAGAAGGGATTTTCTTTCTCTGTTGGGTCTTTGTGTGGCTTGGGTGTCAGGGTAACTGTGGCTTCCTAAAAAGAATTAGGCAGCCAGGTATGGTGACACATGCCTTTCAGCCCAGCACTCAGGAGGCAGAGGCAGGCCTATCTGAGTGTAAGGCCAGCCTGGTCTACAAAGCAAGGTCTAAGACATCCAGGGCTACAGAGAGAAATCCTGTTTAAAAACAAAAACAAAAAAAAAAAAAAAAAGAACTTACTAATGTTTCTTCACCTTCTATCTTGTGGAATAATTTGAGAACCGTTGGCTTAATTTCTTCGCTGAAGGTTTGGTAGAATTCTACACTAAATCCATCTGGGCCTGAGCCTTCTTTGATTGGGATTACTGCTTCTATTTTAGGTGTCATGGGTCTGTTTAAATTGCTTCTATGATCTTGATTTAGCTTTGGCAGGTCATATATATCAAGATATTTATCCATTTCTTCTAGGTTTTCCAGTGTGGTGGAAAACAGATTGTTTTTAAAGTATGTCTTTATGATTTTCTGGATTACCTCGGTGTCTGTTGTGATGCCCCCTTTTCATCTCTAATTTTATTAATCTGGATCTTCTCTCTCCATCTTTTAGATAATTTGGCCACAGTTTTTTTGTTTTGTTTGTTTTTTCTTAAAGAATCAATTCTTTGTTTCATTGGTTCTTTGTATTATTTTTGCAGTTGTTTGTTTCTATTTTGTTGATTTTAGCCCTGAATTTCTTTTTAATTTTAAATTATTTTTTTAATTTTTTTTAAAAAAATTATTTCTTGCAGTCCACTTTTTTAGGGTGTTAGTTCTTCTTTTTGTTCTAAAGCCTTCAGGTGTTTTGCTAAGTTGCTAATATGAAATTCCTTTTTTTTCTTTTTTCTTTTTTCTTTTTTTTTTTTTTTTTTGATGTAGACACTTGACACTATGGACTTACCTCTTAGAACTGCCTTCATTGTGTTCCATAGCTAATTTGTGTTTTCATTTTCATTCAGCTCTAAAAATTAAAGTTTTTAATTTCCTTCTTTTCTATCTTGACCCATTTTTCATTCAGTAGTGAGTTGTTTGGTTTCCATATGTTTGTATGTTCTCTGTTGTCGATACCCAGCTTTAATCCATGGTGGTCAGATGGGATGCAGGGGTTATTTCAGATAAATCTTGAGACTTACTTTGTTTCCACATATGCGGTCAACTCTAGAGAAAGTTGCCCGAGCTGCTACGAAGGTATATTCTTTTATCTTTGGGTGAAATATTTGGTAAATATCTGCTAGTTCCATTTCATTTGTAACATTAACGCCAGTATTTCTCTGTTTAGTTTTTGTCTGGATGACCTGCTACTGGTGAGAATGGGGTATTGAGGTCTCCCACTATCACTGTGTGAGTCAGTATGTGATTTTACCTGTATTTTTTTTCTTAGTGAACTTGGGTGCCCTTGTGTTTGCTGCATAAATGTTTAAGATTCCAGTACCCTCTTTGTGGATCTTTCGTTTGATGACTTTCTAGTGTCCTTTCCCATCTGTTCTGATTAGTTTTGGTTTGACATCTCTTTTGTCAGATGTGAAAATGGCTATACCTGCTTTCTTCCTGAGTCCATTTGCTTAGAAAACCTTTTCCTGCCCTTTACCCTAAGGTAATGCCCGTCCTTGGTGGTGTGGTGTTTCTTGGATGCAGCAGAAGGGTGTGTCGTGTGTTCCCATTCATTTTGTTTGTCTGTATCTTTTTCCTGGGGAATTGAGACCAATGATGTTAAGATTTACCCATGAGCAGAATTAATTTACTGATTCCTGTTGTTTGTTTGTTATGATGTGGGGATTGACTCCTTTGATTGACTGGTCTGAGATTCCATATGTGGTTACCTCTTCAGACTGAAGTTTTCCTTCTGGTGCCTTCTGTGGTAGGTAGATACTACTTCAATTTAGTTTTATTGTGGAATATTTTACTTTATCCATCTATGGTAATTGATAGTTTTCATGGGTATAGTAATCTGGGCTGGCATCTGTGGTCTCTTAAGAGTTTGTAGAACATCCATTCAGGCCCTTCTGGCTTTTAGAGTCTTCATTGACAAGTCAGGTGTTATTCTAATGGGTCTGCCCTTATATGTTGCTTTGTCTTTCTCTTGAAGTTTTTTTTTTTTTTGGGGGGGGGGTTTCCTTGAAGTATCTGTTTCTTCTACCTTGTTTT